ACTTTCCACTCCCATCTGCACATTTATGGGATTGTGCTCTCACGTTGATTAGTAAATCTGGCCCCTAGTGTTTTAGACAAAATAGTATTGAATTGTAGCATATGGCAACCCATATCCATGCATCCAGTGAAGTTGGCATTTCAAACAGCTTATTCAGGTGTTTCCTTCACAGTGGTGGAGTGAGGCTGAGAATGTGTCAGACCACATTCATTCATTCTTCAGTTCCCCCACAATGTCTTGTTGGTAATCCAGTACTTTTCTTAGGGTCTCCTGTGGGTCTTCTGTTCTACATTTGCAGCATCAGCAGTGACATGTAATACTTTTCAAGCCACATTAAATGATAAACGCACGTGGGCGATACACAACCACAGCTATATTAAACCAACACTAATCTCAAAGCACCAGAGGAGACATCCGGAGGCTTGACAGCTGTCATAATTTGGGGATTCATTCAGCAGTTGACTGTCATCAATAAGCTGTGGCAGCAAATAAATCCTTTCCAGATCATCAGCTACTTATTACACATGATACCTCAAACTGGATGAGCAAGGAATCATGGAGTGACAAAATTGCAGCATCACTAGTTCTAGTACTGCTTTTGGTGGCAAATGGGATTTAGTGTTTGTTAATCAGTAGGACTGACGTGTCATAAGTCAATATACAGTCTGACCCACAATACATATCCAAAGAGCATGGATCCTAACTTCAGACGTCACGTAATCAATAGGCTATGTTAGCAAAGCCATGTTTACAAGTCAGCCTGTAAATATGGACTAATTCTGTACCAAAGTCAAGGACGTTTTACATTTGGCCCCAGTTTGAGTTCCGTTTGAGTTCATTGTACCAATCCAATCTAAAAGAATGACAGATTTCCACAGAAACAAATCATTTAAATGAAACCATTTACGGGCATTTAAATTATTTTTGAATATTGGTGCGTTCAATCCTTCTGAGAAGTTCATATTTGCGAGTAGGGAAGTCAGGTGTGTTCAAATTATTGTCTGAGCAATATAGTATGGAAGCTTGTTTCCACCATTGAATTAAAAATAAAAAAGGTACAATTCACAATTCTGACTTTTTTTCTCACAATTGCGAGTTTACATCTCATAATTCTGACTTTTTTCTCAGAATCTCGTGATATAAACTTGCATTTGTGTGAGATAACCTCATGAATGTGAGAAAATAGTCTTTTTTTCTTCAGAACTTTACTTTACAACTTTATAACTAACTTTAAAAGATGTCAGAATTGTGAGAAATAAAGTCAGAATTGCGAGTTTATATCTTGCAATTCTGATTTTATAACAAACCGCAGTGACCCACATACAGTAACATCCCGGCATCCTTCTGTCGTTTGTCACAGTTAAAGAGCTGCAGGAGGAGAGGAGGAGCTGTGTTTCAGCATCAAGCCCCTCCCCTGGGACTGCTCCTCCCCCGGCCCCTCCTCCTCAACCTCCTCCCCCTCCCCCACCCCCTCCTCCTCCACCTCCCCCACCTCCTCCCTCCCGCTGTAACCCCCTCAGGTAACGCTCCACTTTACTGCGCTGAAGCCGAACTTTCATATACAATCATTAAGAACGGTGTTGTTGAACATCTAATTGTATCTCTCTGTTTACGGCAGCTCTCTCATTGCCATTATGAGGAAATCCTCCAAGGGAGGTAAAGGAACCCCCAAACTAGAGCAAGCCACAGGTGATTGTCCCTACAGTGTGTTTTTATTCTGTTGCCCTGTTATTGGTATCTGGACAAACACATTCTCTCTCGATGCAGTGAATGAAGCAGTGGACGAAGTCAAAGTCAAAGCTGTCAATGAAATGATGGAGAGAATCAAACACGGTGTGGTTCTCAGGCCTGTGAAGAGTCAGGACACTAAGGTGAGGTTTTGAACCTGGACCAGAATTCAGATTTTAATTGACTCCCTTTATGAGTTTGAGTTTGAATCAAATTGGCCACACCCCACCGGATGTTGAACTGGAATGACAGCAGAGTGATTTAAGTCACTCAAACCAACAAAAAAAGTGAGAAAAAAAATGTATTAAGGTTTAAGGTTTACATTTGGTAAACCTGCTTTGTGTTGTTTGGCTCTATTTTGAAGACTTTGAGGTCAATTTGAGCATTCTATATGTTTTCCTTCATGGTCTATAAAAATAAATATTCACTTTTTTTAAGTATAATGAAATATGACTAAATACAAATATATTTAAATGTAATTTCAAACATTTACCCTAGCACATTTTATATTATTTATTTTATGTATATATACTGTATTTATTATTCTCACCAAGGCTGAATTTATTTAATCAAAAAAGCAGTAACGAGTAATATTGTAAAATATCATTACAATTTCAAACAACTGTTTTCTATTTGAATATATTTTATGCAAAAGCTGAATTTTCAGCATCATTACTACAGTCTTCAGTGTCACATGATCCTTCAGAAATCATTTAAATGTGATAATTTTCTGCTCAAGAAACATTTCTAATTATTATCAATGTTGTAAACAATTGTCATGATTAATATTATTGCTGAAACCATGATACATTTTTTTCAGGATTCTTTGATGAATAGAAAGATCAGAAGATCCAAATTTACTTGAAATAGAAATATTTTGTAACATTATAAATATCTTTTACTGTCACTTTTGATTCATTTATTATTATTATTATTATTAGTGTGTATGATAACAGGTCATTCATTTTGTAGAAATAAACATATTATTAAAAAGTCAAATTAAAGCACTACTGTTCAGCGAATAGAAAGATCAGAAGATCCAAATTTACTTGAAATAGAAATATTTTGTAACATTATAAATATCTTTTACTGTCACTTTTGATTCATTTATTATTATTATTATTAGTGTGTATGATAACAGGTCATTCATTTTGTAGAAATAAACATATTATTAAAAAGTAAAATTAAAGCACTACTGTTCAGTTAATTTGATTGTCTAATTTCCTATTTAATTCTTCTTTCTTAAATTTTAATTACACGTCTGCATGTGTAACTGAATTGGAATTTTAAAGGAATTCCCGTTCCATTCTAAATGCTACACCTGTACCACACTCACATTCTCACATTGGTTATGAATACAGTATATTATGTATATCGTGTGCACTGATTGATGTTCTGTTCTGTTTTCTCTACCCTGTACCATCATCTGCTGACCTGATTGATCGTTGCAGAGATTTGGCACAAAGGTATGTTCAAATCACACATATTGTTTACAGTGTTTAACAACAATTATCACACCAGATCATTGTTCCACGTGCACCAGTGTTAAACTGCTTAGAAAGCTCCATTACAATCAAAGCAAATCCTGTGTTTTACAACTCAGCACATTTTGTCAATACAAAGACCCTGCAGAAATGGTTCATAGCATTTGATCATCCTCGCTGAGGAAGGGTCGGCTCATTAAAGCATTTTGCGTAGAGACAGTTGATAGGCTGAGAGGGGATCCATCTTTTGTAAGTTATTGACGGGCAAAGCCACTAAGATTATGCTGAGGCTCAGAGGGGCTGTATAACTTCTGATCAATAGCTATAGTCCTGACTTTAGAGATTGCCTGCTTCTCATCATGCTGCATAGGCAGATTGTCTTTTCTTTTGTTGTTTTCCGGACATAAACTTAAAAACACTCCATGCTGTAGCTGCTTGTTAGTAATTTACAAGGGTTTTTTTAATGCGTAATGTTAGTACTGTTTTGGTGATCTATATCACCAGTGTTATTTTAGTGTAATTTATAGAATTTTATATTATTTATTAATATTTTGAATTAGCTTGTTTATATTCTAATTTTAGTATACGTTATGATTTGGTTATGTGTATTTATCTTTTAATATTTCTATTTAGCTTTTAATTTATGTTTATTTATAATTTTTGTAATTTTACTACAACTTGAATACAATATTTATTTCAGTTACTTAACAAGGCAACATTTCTAATTTTAGTTTGCGAGTTTACGTTTTTAATCTGATATGTAGCTTTATTTCAATTACCAGAACATTTTCATTATAATGTGATGATTTGCTGCTCAAGAAACATTTATTATTATTATTATTATTATTATTGCTGAAACGATGATACATTTTTTCAGGATTCTTTGATGAATTGATTTGCTGCTCAAGAAACATTTATTATTATTATTATTATTATTGCTGAAACGATGATACATTTTTTCAGGATTTTTTGATGAATAGAAAGTTCAAAAGAACAGCATTTATTTGAAATAGAAATCTTTTGTAACATTATAAATGTCTTTAGTGTCACTTTTGATTAATTATTATTATTATTGAGTACCTCATTCATGATGTAAAAATAAACATATTAAAAAATGTTCATATTAAATATATTAAAAAGTAAAATTAAAGTAATACTGCTCAATTAATTAGATTTCCAATCATTCTAATTTCCAATTAAATTATACTTTTTAAATTTAAATTACACTTCGGCATGATTGCAACTCAATTTCAGAAACTGAATTGGAATTCTCATTCAGTTCTATTTATTTTAGTTCCTTGACAACATTTCTAATTTTAGTTTTTCAAGTTTAATTTTTTTCTATTATTTATATATTATTTCAGCTTTATTTCAATTACTAAAACATTTTTTATAGTTTTAAGTTAACAGTAACAACACTGATATATCATGTAATGTTATTTGGGAATTTTTTTATGATTTGATCATATAATTACATTGTTCCTGATCCACAGCAGCCGAGCCCAGTGGCGGCAGCAGCAGCAGCAGCAGCAGTGGAGGAAAAGCACCAGGAAAGTGCAATGGAAGAGCTGAAAGGCATTCTGGTAGGCACCTGATTAACAGCTGATTACGAGTCCAGCTATTGATCCACAGATTACAGAAATGTATCCATTTTCTGTTTGTTTACAAAAAAAATAGTTCAATGATGGTTATAATCTGTCCAGTAGTATTAGTTGCACAAATACACGTATAAAATATACCAAAATACCCTTTGCTCAGAAATGCCAAATTGCAAACTAAGCACTGAAACTTCGTTCATGAAATTCTGTTTTCTCTCTGAATCTATAGGAGACGGTGAAGAAGAGTCCCAGTCGTGGTTTCCAGGAAGTAGTTCATGCTAAAAAGGACAGTGAACTGGAAGTAATTCTGAGGAGGAGACGCAAACAGGCCTGTGATCCTGACACAGAAGGCAAGAGGATAAACGCCGCCCTTCAAGAAGAACCCATGAAATTGAAATGCATACATTTACTATGTATTTACTAGGGATGTGCGCTATGACAAATTTCAGTCATTTAAACGGAAATGTTATAAAAGTAAGAAACCCTCAAAAACACTGTAGCCGTGTCTCATTTCGGAGTGGAGGTCGCATTTGAAGGCTGCATACGTCATCGGGGCAGTCTCATTTAAGAAAGGTAACCATTAAATTGCAAAGTAAAAAAGAAATTGCAGCATTTTACACCTCACAAGGAATAATTCAATTTGATTGCGGTTACTTTTCTTAAGACATCCTTGATGACGTATGCAGACTACAAATACGACCTCCGGAGGACGCAGCTTGTTTGTATATGCGATTGATTTGAAATATTATTAGGCATTATATGGTGATAACGTGAAAAAAATTTCAACAAAAACTTTCTGATGAAAGTAATTTCCCTTTCGTTCATAATGTTTCCCACTTTAAATGGGTACATACGCTCCCACAGTGACATGAAGGAAACACATGCATGCAAGGTGAAAAAATGTCCTTTTCCACTCCAGATATCCACTTTTCAAAATAATGTATTATTTTTAAAACATAACATTAAAATGACTGCATTTCGACTAAAACCATTATCAGCTCCTCTGCACAAAGCCCCAATGCAGCAAACAGTAGCACAGATGCCGAGTGTTAACAGCAAGTGGCACTGCAAGGACAGCTGCATTATTTGCACAAAACCATGCTTTCTAAATTAGTTTATTCCAAATTTGAAACCAACCATTCATATTTTAAATGAATATAGAAAGATCATTTCATCAATTGCAGCTTGAAAAAAAATACATTTTACCAGACGACACATTTTCTTTCTTTCAGCATAAATGTACTGTCTCTGCCTTTACCAATAAACACAGTGTGTTTAGACGTTAGAGACATCAGTCACATGCTTCAGATTAATTCTGCACAGTAGGTACTATTAGATTCATCGTGGATTCATAGATTCAACATCTGAGTCACATTTCCATTAGAATGCAAGCAAGGAAACTTTAATGAAGAAGAGTGTAATTAATTTCTGTGCCACTAGCAGCAGTATCTGAGCAAGGAGGATCTGTAATACTTGGAGAAAATTATACATTAAAGGATTAGTTCACTTCCAGAATAAAATATTCCTGATATTTTACTCATCCCCATGTCATCCAAGATGTTCAAGTCTTTCTTTCTTCAGTCGAAAAGAAATTAATTTTTTTGAGGAAAACATTCCAGGATTTTTCTCCATATAATGGACTTCAATGGGGATCAAGGGGTTGAAGGTCCAAATTGCAGTTTCAATGCAGCTTCAAAGGGCTTCAAGTGCAAGACGTGCATTTGTGGTTAAAAAAGTATATACATTTTACATTTTTTAAGAAAATGACCCTTAGTACTAGACTGAGATCGTGTAGGGCCCTTTGAAGCTGCACTGAAACAGCAAATTTGGACCTTCAGTCCATTGGCCACCATTGAAGTCCATTATATGGAGAAAAATCCTGGAATGTTTTCCTCAAAAACCTTCATTTCTTTTCGACTGAAGAAAGAAAGACATGAACATCTTGGATGGCATGGGGATGAGTAAATTGTCAGGAAATTTTTATTCTGGAAGTGAACGAATCCTTTAACAGTCCCGTTCATCTCAGTTCATCTGAGACCTAGCAGAGCCTCATGGATGTACGTGATTTATGAGCTGCCATCTTTGCAACCAGCGTCCTCAATCGCCCTCACGTCGTTCCAGACCTGTATGACTTTCTTTCTTCTGATAAACAATTTCCACACAATGGAAGTCAATGGGGTCCAAAACATCACTAGACCCCACCCGACTTTCATTGTATGAAAGCAGTTTCTTTTTGTTTCACAGAACCATCCCTCAAACTATCCCTTTAAGAAAGATGCATTTTGCATGCTAACAAGTCATACCTTGGTGCCTTGGGCCCAATTGACAACACTGGCTCATCCAATGGCATGAGTTTAGGGCAGGACGACTTGTTATAACAATGCCAGATGCTGCTAGTAGCACAGAATATACTTCTGATTCAATGCAAAGTAGTAAAACAATCCTGACAGAATCACTGCACTGCACATCATGGCACCTTTGCTGTTACAAAAAGGTCCTAAGTGTGGACTAGCCTATCCAAATTAATCAAGAGATGCAATTATAAGCCATTCAAGTGATTCTTTCCGTAAAGAGGAACTGTTCTGTCTACCTCTTAAGACACACTCACTTCTTGGGGATCGAAATCATACATCCTAGATGTTAGGAAAATGAATACCATCGAATCATGGAGGGCTAAGTACCCATGTCTTCCACTCATTTCCAAAACTTTGCACTGCATGAATGCAGAAAAGTTTGGCTTTGATCGTCAGTTGCATCTTGATTAGATTTGCTCACTAATTCTGAGCTGTTCCAATGCAATATAATCTGCAAATTGTAATATTGTGGAGGATCAGGCTGCCTTTAATAACTGCGAATATTTGCCTTGTGATTCCTCTTGACTCGAAGTGGATCATTTTAATGGTACGATGTGGAGAATATTAATAAGACTGCAGGGTTCTGGCCATCTAAGTTGTCCTGGTCGTATTGCTCAGCTAACAGGGAACGTTCGTAGAACTTTGGCTAACGTTCTGGCAAGGTTCTCTGAAGGTTATGAACAATTGTTCTTTCAGTAACATTAATAGAACGTTCGTTCATTGTTATCTGGTTTTTCATAATGTTCTCAAAACTTTAGCATCTTTCATGGAACGTTTTATTAGTTTTAGTTGGATGTTAACCTGTTTTGCTACTTGTTACGTTACTTGTTTCAGAACGTTCAGATAACATTTAAAGTAACATTCCCATAATGTTTGCAAAATGATCAAATGGAATGCATAACCAAAACATTTTAAAAACTGAAAATTTTGAATGATAACCGTCTGGGCCTCTTTGGTCGGAACTGACCAAATGTAGAATTTTAAAAATATTTTTTACTTCATCGAAATGGGATGACACTTGGTGACTTTTGTCACATTAGCCATGTTTACACACACACACACACACACAAAATCATGGACATGATTTGGATACGTTAAAGGGTCGAAAAATAAAAAAAGTTACACTTGGTACCTTCGCGGTCAAAAATGACGGTGGAAAAAATAGCTCATAAAAATTGTGTATATATTCTATAAATATTCCTCAAAATTCTAAACAATAATAAAAAAATATTACTGAACAAAAATATATTACATTAACATTTAAAAAAGTTAGATTTCAAGGCTTCGGTCACTTTTGACTGTGAAGGTACCAATTGTGACCCAAAAATGAATAGACCCAGAGGGTTAAGAGGACATTCAAAAATAACATTTTCATAACTCAATGGGAATGTTAGCAAAATGTTCTTAAATTATATTTTTGTTAGCTGGGTGGTCTGACGTCTTTGATATCAGGCTGTCTAACAACTGCAATAATATTTGACACGGACGATAATTGTGGTTGCAATTATGTATCACTTGTCAGAAAATCTGAATTGTTTTATTATATATTCTTGTTTTCATTCTGTCGTCACAAGTGATTCTAATAACCCACATTGATGTGACTCATTTACACTCTTTTTTAATGTTGTTTAAATTGCTCCTTGATTTTCACCACCTCTGGAATGTGTTTTGGCCTTACTGTATGCACCACTTCTTCCTTGTCAGCCTTATTGGAGTGTAGGCTTGATTTTGTATAAGAACTCTGAGATGTGATTGATCTGACTTGTGATGAGTGTGTTTTGAAGCTTAAACTGAGTGTACCAGTTTTTGTTAACTGAATCTCCCTCTTCGACATACCTTTTAGACGACTGAATAAACTTATGAAGAAATACAGACTGTTTTCTGTACCTTTCTTCTATTTTTCAAACAAATGCATGTCAGCCCCATATCTCATCATTCAACTTTTTTAATAAGCCACAGAATTTGTACCTTAAACAACATGCTCAAATCTTTCTTTATATAGTTGGTTTCCCTAAGTAGTTGGTCTCTATTCTCTAAGTAGGGACTTTGAGTATGGTTTAACATTGTGCAGTTAAACAAAAGAAAGTGCAAATCATTACAAAGAGTGCATTGAAATATACATGAGGGCATTAGCAGGTAATGCAACTGGATCTGCCAGTGAGAAACAGAGCCTGGACGTGTGAAGAGAGGAATGGCAGGAGTTGAAAGAGAAGAAAAGAAGACTCAGCAGTGGAGAGTACAGCATGATCATACACATATAATGCTGGAGTTAACTTGTAATCAAGCTTGGTATGGTAACGTTGACCAGATTTCTGAAATGGAAATCGGAGACATCTGAAGACAATCTTAGTTCAGTGGTCAAAATATCATTGAAATCTCACTTGCTATAAATGAATTACAAAATGGGGACAATACATTTTTGAATGTTTGTGTGTGTGTTACAATTGTTATAATTAATAATTATGATGTCTGTGGGTCAAACTGGCTCTAAAATTATTTTAATACGATTCACCAAAATCACACATGTGATAAATGGTCAATAGTAACCATTGCCAATAACAAACAGAATAAAACAAAATTATGACTTTTAGAATTGTTTAGTCATAATTATGACTTTTATGGCATAATTGTTAATTTTGTCTTACAAGTTACACATTTTATGATAATTATGACTGAGTACGTCATCATTTAACTTGGTATGTCATAATTTTGACTTTTTATTTCATAATATTGCCTTTTACTTTATCAGAATACTTACTTTTTATGTGTTAATTTTGTCTTTTTATCTCATAATTATGACTTTATATCTCAGAATTTTGACATTTTATGCTGTAAATTAGACTTATCATAATTATGAGACAGTACCTTATAATTTTGACAATTTATGTTATAATTATGACTTAGTATGTCATAATTTAACCTTTACATCTCAGAATTTTTACTTTTTTACAACATAATTAAGTCAACTTTTTGTTTCATAATAGATATAGTATCTCATAATTATGATAATTTGCGTCATAATTATGACTTTCTATTCCTCTCGTAATTATCTCATAATGTCATCAGTTTAAGTCATAAATACAGTATGACTTTTTATCTAATCAGTTTTACATTTTACGTCATCATTTCAACTTTTTCTTATAATTATGATATAGTATCTCATAATTTCGACACTTTATGTCCAAAATATGACCTTTTTATCTCATAATTATTATAATTTGTGTCATAATTATGACTTTTTATTCCTCTCGTAATTATCTCATAATGTAATCAGTTTAAGTCATAAATACAGTATGACTTTTTATCAAATAATTTTTTACATTTTACGTCATAATTTCAACTTTTTCTTATAATTATGATATAGTATCTCATAATTTCGACACTTTATGTTCAAAATATGACCTTTTTATCTCATAATTATTATAATTTGTGTCATAATTATGCAAGGGCATAGAATTTAGTAGGGATGCTAGGGACATGTCCCTACCAACATCCAGCGACTACTAAATTGTCCCTAGCAATAATTTTGATCAAACAATTAAATAAATGTTTATGTAACCACTGTTATTGTAATGTCGGCCGCATCTGAAACAGGTCATACCATTGATATCACCTGAGAAGTTCAAGTAAATACACTAGAAAACTGCTTGCTTCCAAGGACGCACATTTAATACATGGCTGGAGTAAGAACATGTAATAGAGCCGAAGTGTTTAAAACATGCGTGCACGGTTCAGATGCATGATCAATTTTACCCTCTTTAACTCTGTGTTGTTAAACTGAATGTACAAAGCAAACCGTTAGCTGAAATATCAGATAAGACTGTGCAGTTTATCTGTCAATCAGATGCATTTATAATATTAAAATAAAATGATATACAGCCTAATTACTATAGATGACATGAAACTGTGGTCAAAAGTCTATCATAAATGTGAAACTGTTTGGGTAGATGGATGGGG